CAAACTACTTTACAGCCTCTCCTCTGCTGAGAACGAGCTAAACAGCATGAAAACAAGATAATTACATTTTAAATGCATAGTATCTAAAGGCTGTTCTCACTTCAAGTCTCTAAATAATAAGGTACCATAGTGTTGTCAACTTCTCGATTGCTTTAAACTCCTCTTTAACCCCTGGATGCTCTGATGTTTTGATTCTGGCTGTTGTCGACATCGTACAAAGTGCATTTTGCTGTGGGTGTGTGCATGCTGTACTGTGAGTTTTCTGCGTGTGTGCGCTGCTGTTCCTCTGATAGATACTGTGGAGTGACGAGCAGAAAGAGCTCCTCTGATAAATGGCTTTTATACCTGTACCTTGAGAGTTGCCTTGAGTGGAGTATCTCTGCCAGCATTAGAGGAGATGATTAGAAGGATAATTTTCCCTGGCTTTATCAAAGCACAAGTGTCATGTAAGCAGTGCTGACCTATACCGTTTTTTGTTTTTTGTTTGAGGTTTTTTTTGTTGCATTTTTCGGGGTTCTTCTGAAAAACTATTTGAAATGAAACAAGATCAAGCTGTCATGGGTGATAAATGTTCTTTTCCCAACTAGACCGTGCAGTTGGTGATAATTGAAGTTTCAGACACAGAGTTGTCTCTCTTTTCTTGTTGACCTGGCGCGTACATAACACAGTTTCATTTGTTTTAGACAGAATGGTGCGTCAGGATTCAGTGTTAGTGGATTGAAAGGGTTGTGGAAGGATGCATTTTATATTAATGCTAGCCATGAAATTGCTTTAAAAATATAATGGATTGTGATGCACTGTTAAATGATTCCTTTCTTTTTTGTTTCTTGCAGTATTTAACAGCCTACTTGTATCTAAATGTCAAAAATATATTTTTTATCTGAAAGGGTTGTTTGGTTTTTGAATAATCATTCAACACAATAAGTTTGGATTAAAGTATAGACTGTATATAAAAGATGGACATAGCCATGTGTTAGGACAGTTCCATTATGAAGCCTCAAGTTGACTGTGTTTATTGTTGCCATCTTAGCCTTTTGACATAAAACATCATGACACATGGGGATTATCTAACTGCTGTGCTTAGTGTCTTTTTGGTCTTTCATGGCGATTGTAATTTACAACATTAACTTGACATTGTACTCAATAAGACTTGAAGCTATGAATTTAGAGATAAAAAGTGTTTACTGAGGTTACAGGTGAGCATGTGGGCTACTTTCTGATAGACCTCTGTAAAACTGAATGTTTTTCTAAATTACAGAAGTCAGTCCCTGTTGGCCACTGGAAAGGAAGCATGTATAATGTACTCCCACTCTAGCTTAACTTTTAGTTAAGTTATATAGCTCAGTTTGGCCTGTTGATGGAAATGTTGTCTCAAGACTCCAATGCCTAAATCCAGAGGTGTGGTCTAATAGTCAGTTTTGCTTAGAAAGTTTACCAGTCACTCGAAGTAATAGTTTTCTGTATGACTTTATCAGTCTCTCACATCATCCAATTCTGGCACTCTCTTCTTTACGATGTTGCTTCAGTTCATTTATGTAGAGTTAAGGTCCCACCATAACATGTTAGTCAGGTTGAGGTCAGGACTTCTGGGTCACTGCAACACCTCAATTCTTCTCTTTTTTAGCCATGTTGTAGATTTGCTGTGCTCAGGCTCATTGTGCTTGCACAAGCTTATCTAGAATTGACTCTTTAAATTACTTCGGCATGCAGAGGAGTTCATTGATGACTCAATGACCACAAGATGCCTAGGCCCCGCGGGTATAAAACAAGTCTAAATCTTCACCCCTCCATTACTGTGCCTGATAGTTGGTATGTGTTTGTGCAGATTTGTTGTGTTTGGTGGTTGCCAAATGTGGCACTGTGCGTTATGACTAAACATGTCCACTATGGTCTCATTTGTCCAAAGGACATTGTTCTAGAAGTCTTGTGCTTTGCTCAGATGTAGCTTTGCAAACCTAAACCATTTTACCCTGTTCTTTTTAGAGTGCAGAGTTTTTCTCCTCTCTTCATTGCATACATTATTGACTCCTTCTGCAGAGAACACATTTAACAATAATGCCATCCCATAATTCATACTGATTCACCATCTGACTGTTTACAAAAATGATCAACAAAACTGACAAAGTGGCACATCTCATGTAAACGTTTATTATAAGTGCATTTTACTCTTCGTACCATAGCATGATATGTTTTGAATGTTCAGCTGTTAAACCCAAAGCTGAACATCATGTTGCTGTAATAAAATCAGCTTCTTATTGATGTGTAGATTTTTTCTTTGTACATTCCTTCATCTTGAAAATACCAACCTTTGTAATGAAGTTATAAATCTTGTTTATATGCATGAAAAAACAACAGTAGTATGCAGTTAAAAACATTGGGATGATGTAAGACCCACATCTGGACACTACAGGTTCAGTCAGTGCAGTCTGATTATCTGTCTTATATGTTTCAAATGAAGTGGTTATACTTTGCCAGGTATAACAACAATAATAATATGCTTGTATAGAAAGAAATGTGTATGAAAATTTGTTTTTACCCAGAAACAAAGGAAAATCACCAGCATAACTTTGCATTGTCAATTAGTTGTGTTAATTGATCTTTCATTAACTCAAATATAGTACACATTTTTAGCCAGGAACCTGATTTTAGCCATAGATTTCTGTCAGATAAAATATCACAGACAGGTAATGTCAGGGGAGACCAGTCATGCTAAAAACCCTGCTTTCCTATGCAGATCTTTTAGCTAAAAAGTGCAGAGTTGAAAACCCCAGTATGTTTTCAGAGGATGACACGAGGAGAAAGTCACACAAAGACAGAAATAACAAAGTCCACAATGACCATAAAGCAGAAATCCAAAGGCTTACTGATGAATTCAGACCAAACAGGGAATATGCTAGATAAGCAGATGCACTGTCAAAGGACAAAGGGAAGATGGGACTATTACCACACGCAGTGCAGAGTAGGGAAGTGGAGACAGGTTAGGAGCAAGACAGAGCTCAACATAATCAAGACAATCAACAGGCAGAACTAAACCCCAAAACAAGATTAAAATAGTTAAACAGAAGAAAACAGGAAAGGAACGACAATCATAATTAAAAATCAGAGATGCTGAAACATGGATGAAAAACATCAGAGCTGAACACATAAAGACAAGACAGAAGGAGGAAGTTTAATAAAAAAAGCTAAATTGTCATTATTATTATTATTATTATTACTAATATTATTGAAATGATCTTGCTTTCAGGTGAGACACATAATACAAGGACTAAAGAGTGCTTGCAGATAAATACATATAACTTTTTAAATGACATCAGAGGGCGCAGTTTCATAGTGTTAGCGTTGTATCTTGTTTCATTTATAAGAAACAAAGTATTTAAATCCAGTTTTTGTAAGGTCAGTGTGAGCAGTATAGCTAATATTAAAATAGTATGTGACCTCACGTGATACATACAATCAAGAGTCTTCAAAATGGATCTTGAAGTATTCTTTTTTTTGTTTTGAATCATCAAACAAATAAATAATATAACTATAATCAAGTGCAGACATAACTCAGAACTCAATAATTAGAAAACAGTAACTAGAACTAAAAACAAGGTTTTAGAATCATAATGAAATTAAGCTGAAATTAAAATTATAATAAACAAGGATCCCAAAACGCCAAAGCAACTCAAAACCCCTGGAACCAGACCAGGGACCATGACAGAAATACAATGTGCAAATTGATGAATTGAGGCCAGCATTTGAAAGCAACAGTGATGAATCACATTATGTGCACCAATGTCTTGTACATGTGTGAAAAACGACAGATAAACTTAGAATACGTCGGCATTGCACAATGATTTGGGATTGATTGAAGAATCTCTTACACAATTCACCACAGACTGACCTTGCTTCTTAATTAGCCCAAGTAATTTTCCAGAACATATTTCCAACTTTGGAAGAGAGATGATCTGACAAGTGCAGACACGCTTGGAAATTTTTACTATTTAGCTGCTGGCACCATGGCCGAGGAAAGAATCTAATAAACTAAGGAAAATTAGGTCAGATTGCAAGTTGTCCTGGATGGAAATCTCTAAAGCAAGCTAACACAATGACCATTCCAGGTGGCTAATTGAATTGTTTACTTCAGGTCAGACCTGAAAAGCATTCAACCAGATTAACTTCACAGAAAAAAGAAGAAAAAAATGTCTCTTTTAATTTCTCTATATCTTAGCATAAAGCACAGAGCCGCAATTTTACTCTTTGAGAACTTGTTCTTAAAAAGAATAACATTTATCATTCTTAAATAACTGATCAAAAGTCATTCTACAATGTGCTTCACAGGCACATTGTAGAATGACTCGCTGCTTGACAAATGCACACACTATACAAATTCCATATCTCTGGTTTGTAAAGTAGAGTTTTTGTCCCACATTTTTGCTCTAAACCCAGTCTGAAGCTTTTGATGAGCGACAGTTATTGTAGGTCATCCAGAGGGGAACGTGGACTTCTTAACCAAATTTCATGGTAATCAGTGCAAAGGTTTGAAGAACACAAAGTCATTGGGATTCATCCTCTGTAAAACACAAGTATCTCCACAACTTTTTAAAAACAACGCATTCCTTAATTATGAAGATATATTATTCTGGATCAAACCTACGAGGCAGAAGGAATTTTGCAGATTTTTCCAGATCACAATAATAACTAAACCTTGCTGTAAACTTCATGTTTGTAGCTGTACTAATTAGTGTCCTGTGAGAGCCTGTTGGCCAGTGAAGTCACAGCTACAGGCTTGATTTAGATCACAAATGTTGAACTCCAGGCCTCGAGGGCCGGTGTCCTGCAGGTTTTAGATATGTCCTTGATCCAACACAGCTGATTTAAATGGCTAAATGACCTCCTCAACATGTCTTGAAGTTCTCCAGAGGCCTGGTAATGAACTAATCATTTGATTCAGGTGTGTTGACCCAGGGTGAGATCTAAAACTTGCAGGACACCGGCCCTCGAGGCCTGGAGTTCGACACCACTGATTTAGGTAATACAATAGAAAGATAGTTCGTGCAGTGAGTATTGTTTTCAAAATGACTGCCCTCTCCAAACTGTTTCTGACTTCCCAGCTGGTTCTGTTTACTAGTCAGCACATCTAATTAGAAAATAGCTGACTTAAAGATAGACATTCGTTAAAATCTTACCCGAGCTAAAAGGGTTACGAACCAGAGTTTTCTACTAAACTTAAGTAGAAGTCTCTGCAGAATATGAGATGGCTTTCCACAACCATTACATGTGTTTGTGTTAGGGTTAAGCCAACATAAGCCAACCACACTGGTGGTGGAAATCCCACTGATTGAGAAACAGCCATGTTCTGCTCTGCAGAGATGCTTTTCTGCTTGCTTTAACAAACTGTGCACACAGATTCCCAGTATTCTTTTTATGCATTTCAGCAGCCCCTGTGTGCTGCAACAGAGGCTGCAAACAGCTGCGCAATTATACAGCTGTTTTACACACTGAACGTACTTCTTACTTTTAATTGTATTTTGGTGTTAAAATCTACAGTCCCCTTTCAGCTTATGTATCATATATAGTCATCACACCTTCTTGAAGCAGGGCTCTTTTTCTTATCTTTTAGTCATTCACCAATTTCTGCTCAAACCTGACTGGTCAATGAACTGCGATTACAACTGGGTCACACGTGGAAAGGAAAGTTTTTCCTCCCAACTGTTACAAGGGCTGCTCAACTTCAACTTTAGTATTTATTTTAATTTTTGTCATTATATAAGTAAATGTTTTTTTTAAATATAAATTATATAAATAAATTCTATCCAATTAAATTGAAAATGGAAATAGAAAATACAGCTTTATTGCTGACAGAAGTTAAAGGCCCTGTCTCGTTATGATTATCTGTGTCAGCTGTGTTCCCCGTGTGTTCCCATGTCTCTCGTTAATCCTCTGTGTATTTATGTCCCCGTCTCCCTCATGACTGTGTGCCCGTCCGTGTGTTTCCTCATGAGGCAGTTCCTTTTGAATCTCCCAGTTTAGGTTCATACTGACAGGAGACTGTCAAAGTAAAACAGGAAGTACACAGAGGTGCAGACAGGAGGGGAGGAGAGAACACGGGGAGAGCAGAGACATAACAGGCTGGGGAAAACATGAAATAAAACACGAGGAGGAGGAACGAGGCGTGGGGACTCACAGATACGTGGAGGGGGACAAAGGGGGTACAAGCACGAGGGGAAATCTAGTAAACTAAAGTGAACAAAGAACAATAAAGAACAAAATACATGGCATGGCACATCTAGCTGAATTAAGACAGTATTTTTATTGTAACCATGTTTGACTGTTTTAATAGCCAAAGACTGTAGCGTGTGAGGTCCTGTTTCCAGGAAAAAAATACTCACTGACCTGATGTTTATAACTTTACTATCCATGTTCTTGTGCAACAGGAGAGATGGCCTTTCTCAAGCATTCCATCCTGCACGCCCTGAGTGTGCTGCTCTTGGCCTGGGTGTTGGTGCAGTGCCAGGCCTCTGTTGAACCAGAGGAAGAGGAGGAGGAAGAGCCAACAGAGGAAACAGAAACTGCAACAGAGGTGACGAAATCTGAGCCGGAAATCTGTCCGCAGGATTGCAGCTGTACAGCAGAGAGGGTAGTGGACTGCCCCGGAGTCAACCTCATCGAGTTCCCTGCTAAGCTGTCGGAAAAAACCCGCCAGCTCTCTCTACAGGTCTTTCATGTACTCCCATAAATACCAACACAAAACCAAAGTTTGGAGTCCTGCATTTACAATCTGTGTTGTGTTTTCTGATGCTAGAACAACAAGATCGAGGAGATAACGGTCGAGCATATTTCCCATCTGCATCAGCTTGAGACTCTTAATCTTCAGAATAACTGGCTCACCTCAGATGGTAAACACTGTCACACAATCTAAACACTCAGCAGGAACCTGCTGTTCAAAGTGGGAACAGCTTACAAGACATGTTTTTGAGGTTGTTTTCTGAGGCCCTGTCGAATTCCTTTTGTTTTTTGTGTTTTTCATTCTCAGATGTCGATCTGTGTTGACCCATTTTGTAGAAATTAGAGCTTTTGCCTGTCTGCAATTTTTGATTAGTAGTTAGTCTGGCCTTGGTTTAAGTATCTATAATTTGACTAACTATTTATGGTACCAAAATACCTTCAAAATAAACCTGAATGCAGCAGAGGAAATGCAGTTGTTTTGTTCATTTCCTCTAATAACTGGTCCTCGCGGCTGAGAGGCACATTCATGAAATAAAGAACAATTAATGGGAACATAAGAATCAGTTTTCCTTTGATCGAAAAGTCTTAGCCTTGATCTAGAACAAGTTTTGCAAAGTTGGAAAAGCTTACTGTCTTATAGGGACCATAAAGCTGGTTTTAGACTGTCATGTCAAGGTTCTGGTGCACAGTAAGATGGTGTGCTAAGTTATCGGCTAATGCTAGCAAGCTGAATTAATAAACTGTTCAGGTGTATTGGACACACATTTGCTACTTATTGCTAAGTAAGCAACTAATAAAATACAGTAACTTTACTTACCAAACATGAAGCACAAACTTCTTGTACTGGCTGTACGTGGCAGCTGTACCACGCAGCAAGCCATGTAATTTATAGATATCTGCCATATTATCCTCAGAAAAAAAAGAGAAAGACCGAAAATTACGCTGGAGAAAGCTGGAGAGGAACTGCTCCTTATCTTACAAGTGATAAAGAGATAACACAAATCCTGCATCTTCAGTTGTTGAACACTTGAACAAACAATTATAGGAAAAAGAGCACTTCTACATTTAGCATGCCAGATAAATAACCGATTAGATGCTTACAGCTGCAGAATATTAAAGATGTCACAATCAAAATCACAATCAGAGAGACTTTATTTATCCCCAAGGGGCAATTAATTGTAAACTTACCAATTTCACTTAGATCAGCTGGATGGAGATGTGGTCCTTACTGTTATTCAGACACTGCTAACAAAATGCTGTTTGACTATGTCAAGTAGCTACAGTTAGCTAACGTTAGGGTTTTTGTTCTGTCACAGTGTAACTTTAATACTCTAGCAACCTTCCTGCTGCTGTCTGCTCAGTTTTTACTTTGCACTGCCAACAGAGACAAAAAAAACAAACGTCACACCTGCCCACTGTTTGCTCCTACTGGCTCAGCCTCTGTATTCTCCTGTGATGGTCTCATTGGTCTAACTCCATAAATATTGGTTAATATTATTCTGGATCATGCTGCTGTTAAGATGAACAGACAGCTTAAATGGTTTTTCTGTCCCTAGCCAGCTGTGCTAGCAGCTGGCTTCTGTTTTTATTGCTAATGTTGAATAAAAAATGTTGCCGTAATGGAACCCTTTTTGGTAAATGTAAGATCAAAGTGCCACAATGGAAAAGATCCGGGTTACCATGTGGTATCTGTCTAACAAAAGTGTTTGTTTTGATCAAAATATTTTAACACATTTTCAAACTAACTATCAGAAAATATTCATTTACTTACTTAAAATGATTAACCATCCTCTTGGGTGCCTGAACCTTTTCCTACTTAATTAATAGTCTGTCACGGTGGCCCGTGGAAAAACACAAAATTCAAGCAGAAATCCCAAACTGCTTACAAACTGGTAGAAAATTCAGCAAGTTCAAAGGATTTTAATTGTGCATACACCTCCAGCTTTCATAAACATACATCAATTTGAAACAAAACAGGATATTCTTGATTTCCAAGGCAAAAATAGCACCATTTTGTCAAAGTTGCTGATGTCATGTAATTAGGGAGTCTCTCTAAAATGATAATTTATCAAAAAGAAAGACCACAGTCTTTTCCAAACCCTAATGAACTGGTTTGTAGTGCCTAACAAGTGGGTGAATGTGAAAGTAAACAATGAGTGTACAAACCCCCCCAAAACTGCAAAGCACAAAGGTCCAAACAGGACATAAGCCACAATCTTATGATCGATAAACCTGCAACTAATACCATTTCTTCTAAAATCTACAATCCTCTGGTCAATTTTGGGACCAGTGCCAAAACTGATAAGTGATACAGGTCTGGTAAATATGTTTTATTCTGTTAAAGGGTGTAAGTCAAGAACAATGTGTCAAAAATCCTTGTTTCTTTTCAACAGGCCTTGAAGATGAAGGGTTTGAGATGCTCGAACAACTGGCTTATTTATACTTGGCAAATAACAAGGTGAGTCATACAGCGGGAGTTTAGATATTTCTCTCAGCTGTGTTCTGCTTGACTGACAGTGTCAGCTAACAGAGGGAGGTTGTATAGTTGCTGCTCATATAGTGTGTACAAGCTTATGCTTGTGATCTCTTCCAGTATGGCTGTGCCATCTGTTTGGAGCTAAAATGTTACTGACCTTTCAGTCACAGGGAACAAGAGAAAAAGGATGGATTTATTTGTGCCCTCACAACATAGGATCCGAAAAGAATAGAGGATTTTTAAATTCTCGCTAATCTTTAAAGACACCGATGCTACTTTAATCCATAAATGAACATCTAATCTCAGTGATGCTTCTCTCATTTTTCAATTTCCTGTTATTGTGTACACTGTAGTGTTAGTTTTTAGCAGGGGATGACAAAAATGAGGAAAACATGGCTTTTATGCCACACATATTTGGGATGACAGCATGCCTGTGTCAAAACAAATAAGTATTCAATAAGTCCTTGTATCAAAAAATAGAATTACAGAGCCTTACAGAACAACCCATAGGACCAATCACTATGCACATGAACATTTTCAGATATGCCATATCTCTATTTTTTAGAGATTTCCCGTTGCTGTAGTTGTCCCAATATATACTGTATGGATATAATTTTGCAGGGCTTGTCATTTCAAGTGCAATAGCTCCATAGAACAACATGACCGGGAAAGATGTTAAAAGCATAAAATAAATAGAAATGATCGTTTAATCTTCAAAGCATAGTAAAATATTTAGTGAGATCTGTGATCATTATCTTAAGTGTGTTTTCTTGTTAGCACACTAATAATTGTGTCATATTAATTTGGGGTAGCCCCTCCATGAATTGCCACCTTATCGTGGTCAGGGGTTTGTGAATATCGCTTGATAGTTTAATTAAAAATGCTCAACATCATATCCTGTCATGGTTTTTTGTGCTTGCAGCTCACCTTAGCACCAAAGGTCCTGCCCCCCTCTTTGGTCAGTGCTGATTTCGCTGCTAATCAGCTTACAAGGATCTTTCCATATACATTTGGTCATAAGCCAAAACTGAGGTAAGAGATGTGCATGTTTGTGTAAATTTACCCCAGATTCCTTTAGTTACTCAGTTAACACATGTCTCATGGTCGTGGTCCCCAGGTCTGTGTATCTCCATAACAACAAGCTGACTGATGCAGGTCTCCCTGAACATATGTTCAATGCTTCTGACAACCTGGAGATCCTAACCATGTCTAGCAACTTCTTGAGGGTTGTTCCCAAGAACCTGCCTCCGACTCTTTACCGTCTTCATCTGAAGGTTTAACATCGCATTATACTTGGACAGTAGTGGGTTTAAGATGTTTGTTTAATTCATAATTCATAAATGTACAGATGTAATCCTAAACTAAAGCTTTGTACATAAAAATGCAGAATTAAATTTGGCCTGTAGGTAGTCACCTTGGGCATCACTGCAACATTTCAAGTGCTTTACATATCTATGGTATGTGCACATACACTACTGGTCAAAAGTTTTAGTACACCCCAATTTTTTCAGTTATTTATTGCAGTTCAAGTTATTCAAGTCCAATTAATATCTTGAAATGGTACAAAGGTAAGTGGTGAAATGCCAGGGGTTATAAAAAAAGGTAAGGTTACCTAAAACGGAAAATTAATGTACATTTCAGAACTGTACAAACAAGCCTTTTTCAGGGAACACAAAATGGGTTAACAATTTAAAGCTGTTCTGCAGCAATGGAGGTTGACCAAGCCTAGTAATTCCTACAAATGTTCCAACTTTTCTTGATCACTTAGAACCCCAGTGTTGGAAAACACTGTGGTACCATACCCTTGTGAGCATCAGTTGAACAGTATTGTACTGCAGACAGTAGTGTGTGTGTTGCTACTAAAATGGTAATAAAAAAGGCAATTAACAATGGAAGACAGACGTGTAGGTCTTTCCTACAGAGAAATTGCAAAGAAAGTTAAGGTGTCAGTAAGTACAGTTTCCTTCAGTAGTAGTAGTAGTATTTATTTATTGTCATTGTCAAAAACAATGAAATTGCATTTGGGGCTTCCATACAACCCAAAAAAAAGAGAAGAAAATAATAAATACCCCTTAAAACCCAAGTGTACATATTTAACCCAGTGTGACTCCAATGCAATAAGACAATCCTTAGCAATAATGTTCGTAGAAATTCAGACAAAGACCTGAGAAACATGACAGAAATACAACAATGCAACCCATTCAATATTATTGTACTGTGAGATATCATATCAGATATGATAGTTATCTATTTAAGAAAGAGGGGGGGGCAGGAGGGGGAAGAGAGTAGATCATCTCTGTTGTATTGAAGTAACCCCAGACTGTGTGAAATAATACACAGTACCAACAAAGTGCAAAAGTGTAGGAGCTCCGGGCCGCTGCGTCTGTGCGCACCGCCATCTTCACCATGAAAAGGCACTCAGAACCTGGGGCAAACTCTGACAGGAAGAGGTCTGGCAGACCCAGAGCCACACCTGAAGCAGACGTCAAGTTTCGGAGAGTTAACAGCTTGCGTGATAGGGGGCTCACTGTGCAACAGCTTCAAGCACAGCTTAATAGTGGTCATAGTAAGCAAGTCTCAGCTTCAGCTGTGAAGAGAAGACTTTGTGCTGTGAGTTTGACAGGACACGTTGCCGAAAGAAAGCCATTGCTAAGATCACAGAATAAGACAAAGAGACTTGCCTGGACCATGAAACGGCACCATTGGACTACTGAGGACTGGAAGACTTGTATAGAGTGTGAAGCTCCCCGACCCAAAATCTACCACTGCATTCTGCAGCGCCATGCAGTACCTACTGGTATGTGCCTAGTTGGTCAGGGGTTCATCCTGCAGCAAGATAATGACCCAAAACAAGTCCAAGCCATGCCTGAGGTAAAAAGAAGAAGATGGTAAGCTTGAAAATATGAAGTGGCCAGCACAATCTCTGGTATTAAACCCCATCGAGCTGGTCTGGCATGAACTGGACAGAAGTGTGAAAGCAAAGCAGTCTACAAGTGCCACACATTTATGGGAACGTTGGCAACAGATATGGGAAGAACTTTCTGAAGAATATTTGATTTCTGTTGTAGAAAGAAGGCCACGGGTGTGTTCAGCTGTTATATCTGCCAAAGGTGGCTACTTTGAAGGGTCAAAAGTTTAGAATACATTTTTGTCTATAAATTGATTGCATAAGTTTTTTTTTAACTCCAATTTCTTATTTGTACTTTTCTTTCATTTCAGAGTGCAATGAGACATTAAACTGCGTCATTTCCAATAAAAAACTGGTAATTGGGGTGTTATAAAACTTTTGACAGGTAGTATATATATTCATGTGTATTTTTGTGTGTACCTGGCTACAGACATTTTTTCCCATGTTTCAACCAGCGACCCTTTAACTTGAAGTAGCAGGAGTCAAATTCAGGCAAAAAGAGCAGGAGGTGAGCAAAAATTGTGTTGCGCATGTCTGTTTTCAACAAACTGTTTTCCAGTTTACAATGTTGCCTATACTACATCCCACACAATGTCACAGTACAATTCTGTGTTGACCGTCCCAGGGAGAGGATATCATAGTGAAAAACTTAGTAAATGTCACAAAAAAACAAGCGCTCCTGGTGTGCCTGTTTTGAACTTTGACACTGGACGTTTTGATTAAGAACTTCTCCTTGGTCTCCAGCTTTCCATTCCAGACAATCCTTGACTATAAAATCAGGTCATTTTGAAAAAAGAACTTGATGTTTGCTCTCATCTTTAAGCAGATCCAGTCTCAGTACATCTGCAGTGCAGATAGACAGAACACTACTTTCAGAAAATTGCATCAAAAGCAACACTTGAAGTGGTGCAGGTAACCAAAAGGCTCTACCTATCAAGGGAGGTTGGCCAAATTTAACCCAGCTATGATTTCTTCTTTTTGTGGGTGCAGTTGCTGAACTTTGTGATTCCACCTTACATTAACAATGTTAATATTCTTTTGTTACAGAGAAACAAGCTGGAGAAAATCCCAGCAGGAGCTTTTGACAGCTTGCCCAATCTCAGAGAATTATATCTTCAGAACAACCTTCTCAGCAATGAGGGCATGGACAATGAGACTTTCAGGTGGACAAAAATCTTCACTCATGAAGTTTATCAATAAACAGATTTCAACATCTTGCCATTGCCAGCTGTGTAAATATCAAAACTATCCTTTCAAGGGCAAATTCTCTACAAAGACAACATCATATCCTTCCTTTTCTTTGCTTCTAGCCAACTCAGCAGCCTTGAGTGTTTGGATTTGTCAAATAACAACCTCAGCGTTGTCCCAAAGGGTCTCCCTCGCAGTCTTGTGCTGCTACACTTGGAGAAGAACGACATCCGCAGTATCCCTGGAGATGCTCTAACGTCAGCCCGAAATCTTGAATACCTGCTCCTCCACAATAACAAACTTCGTTCCCGTTCTATCCACCCAGCTGCCTTCCAGGTAAATATGGATGATATAAATGATCCAATTTAAATTGTAAGGACAAGTTGGAAGGAGTAATTTGTACAACAGCATGGCAATGAACATTATGCAACAGTGGATCACCCATTTGAAATCTTAAATTTGCTTTTCACTAGGGCTTGAAAAAGCTGCACACTCTTCACATGCACAACAATTTGCTGGAGCGTGTTCCCAGAGGCTTGCCTCGGCGAGCAAAGACCTTAATGCTGCTCCATAACTCTATTTCTGAAATTGGCCGCAACGACTTAACCTTGTTGTACACGCTGATAGAACTCAACCTCAGCTACAATAAGCTTACCAGCCCCAAGATGCAACGTGAGGCTTTTAGGAAGCTACGTCTGCTGGAAACCCTGGACCTGTCGGGGAACAGCCTTACCTCAATGCCCAGGGGCCTTCCTCGCAGTCTGCACGTGCTCGAAATCAAGAACAACCTGATCAACTCTATACCAGATGGTACGCTGACAAAGATGGAGAAGTTACGAAAGCTGATCCTGAGTAATAACCAGCTGAAACTGAACTCAGTCTACCAGGGAGCCTGGATGGAGCTCACTGCGCTCACAGTGAGTGGAAGCGACACAAGTGGGATAGTCACTGAAAAAAAAAAAGCTTGGCAATGATGTTTGTATACTGCATGAATCTGAATATTTAGGAACTTTACAAAGGTTTAGTACTAGGTTCCTCCCTGATCTTTCACTAAATGACAGTTTGGTATGGTGCAGAAAAGGGCAAACATAGAATTTTTTTATACCAAGCAAAGTGGCTATTGGTTGGACATTAGGGATTTAGATGTTATAAAATTAAAAGTCAAGACTGGTCATATTGTTTACGTTTACATTTACAGTAACATTATCAATGGGAACTTTCTATTTAAAACTTGACGTTGACAAAAATGGAAATATTTACTGGGATATAACCCCAGTCAAAAATCTAAGGAATTGCTGCAGCTGGCAAAAACCATTCAATGATCCTAAATAGATTGTTGTATAACAATTTTTCCATCACAATTTTTACAAGACAATATGCTTGCTGTAGTCTTCGCCAAAATATAAGGCAGCACAATAACACTGCCAGCAATGGCAGAAACCTGCAATGCAAAATTTGAAAGTAATGATTCTGGGAATGAATCATTCATTCCCAGAATCATTCATTCCAGATAAGTAGGGCTAATGGTTTGATACAGACTAAATTTTCCAGGAGGTTTGTTATTAATTATGCATCTTTAATTTTTAGACGCTGGACCTGTCTGGTAACCTAATGACACACATCCCCGCTGACCTACCCGAGTCTCTGGAATACATATACCTGCAAAACAACCGCATCTCCAGTATTCATGGTTCAGCTTTTGAAGGCACTCCCAACATCAAAGGCATCTTCCTCCGGTAAGGGACTCACAAGTAAAGTAAATATATTTAGTCTTTAGCTGTATATTTTCATGCCCTGATTTATTTATTTCTTTAACCCCAAATAGACAACTTTAAACCCTTTTACCCAATTTAGCCAGTAAATACTTTAAGATCAACATGAATAACAACAGCTTCTGTGGATAAACAATTTTCTTTATGGATTAAAATATGCATTTACTTCCAGCTGCTCAAACCTGTAAATTAGAGATCAAAAAATAATAAAAAGTGAGTCATATTGATGTAATTAAACTTCAGCTCTAAACAATAAAAACTGAACAGAAGAAGCAGAAGCATCTAGAAGTACTAGATCTGCTTTATACTCAGTTTTGCTAACAAGCCTCTTCCACACTCTTAAACCATTGAAATGGCCCCGTTACTGCTGATGTCACCTGTTCTCTGCACAGGGACCACCAGGATGAATTAAACTCTTAAACACTTGTTTGCAAAAGCTGTTTTATTGCATTACATGTTCAAGCATAGGCCTTCAAGCACAAATCTGTTTTCCAAATGCATTGATCTTCACTGGGGGTAGGATACTCGTGCAATAGAAGAACGACTTTAAAGTAGAAGATATTTAACCAGCTTAAAAAAAAACGTTGTCTTACTACAAGAGGCTCATAGATCTGCCACAGCTGCAGATGAACTTAAAACACCTGCATGTTGGGAATATACTTTCTTCTCACATGTCCATCACTCTTACTCTCGTCTGAATTATTTCATCAAGTTCATTCTGCCACAAACTGGAGATTTAATTCATCATTACTTAAAGATGAAGATTTTATTAAATATTTTAAAAACGAGTGGGCTTCATATTTACACAATAATGGCCTGCCTGGAACATCAGCATCTGCTTTCTTGGAGTCAGGGATGAAAAGAGAAAACAAACGTATTCATGAATTAGAGAAAAACATTAAATCCTTAGGAGAAGCCTGTGTGTCCTCGCTGGAACAGGAAATGTTGAGCAAAATACGTAAAACAAAACTAGAATTAAATCAAATTTGGATTAAAAAAAAAAAAAAAAGAATATTTCTACTGCAAAGACTTCCACTGCAAAAATTTTAACAAGAAACAAAATATTCCCTGTATTTCCAGTGAAAGACTTAACTGGGAATACAGTTTATGATCCTGAAAGAATAAACAACACATTCAGGGACTTTAAAAAAAACTTTATATTCACCAGAGGTACACCCATCGGAAGATGAAGTTGATCAGTTTCTTGATAACATAACCATTCCAAAATTATCAGCCAGTCAAGCCTGAAACCAGGCAAAGACACTGTATTTCCCATCAGCTTTCATCCAATATCCCTTTTTAATATTGACCTTAAAATAATCTACAAAGCCCTCTGAAAAAGATTAGAGAAGATAGCACCCCTCATAACACTTCCTGACCAAACTTGTTTAATAATAGGGAGGCATTCATTAATAAATACATGTAGCTTACTTAATTTAATAGACTGTTCTTGCAGTAAAAACAAACTACATAATTGTCTCTAGATACAGAAAAAGCATTTATAGAGTTAAGTGGAACTTTTTATTTGCAACTTTGGTTTTTGAAACTGTTGGGTTCATCCAAACTCAAAGTATTTGTTTTCCTCTATTTAATAAGCTTTTGAAGGTTTAGATTAATAATGATGCCGCGTCTCTTCCTCCATTCAGCAAACCGAACGAACAAAAGAGCACCAAATCCAGGCAGTAAACACTTTTATTATTTGTCATAAAAACAGAATGTTAACATGATTGGTTAAAAAGTTGGGGCAAGGCCGCGGTTTTAGACTTGGCTCTACATAGGACCAAGAGGAGGACTACATCTGCCTAACTTTCACAACTACTTCTTAGCCAACACGCTACAATACATCTCAAGATTGTTAAAACATAGCCTCCAAATGAGCCGCGGCTAGACATAGAATAGGCACTATGTAATAATGTAGAGATTTCGGGCCTAATATTCATTAGCTCAAATGACTTGTATGCTTTAAAAGCATACATATTAAGATTAAGCATTAATATAATATGAATATATATATTAATATATAATCTTAACCTATCTGGAACAACTCTGACATCTTACAAAAAAATTATATGCTAGACTTCAAAGATTGCAGGTAAAGGAATTGAGTTCTTGGAATATATATTTCAATGAATAAATTTAATTTCATTTGACATATTAGTATTACAATATGGGATTAACAAGAGTAGATTTTTAGACCAACAAATTATAGTCTATATTGATAAAGGAATTTTCACCTAATTAAATCAATTACAATTCTTATCTAAAATATACAAAACACTGTTGAAAACAGATGAGTCATTATCCCTTCCTATTGTGAAATGGGGGGCGGATCTATCAGCCAGCTTTGACCACAACTTCTGGTATCAGACATGTTTAAAAACCTCTAAAATGATTAGAAACCCCAATCTACAATTAATAAAATACAAAATACTACATAGAGTGCACCATGGTCACACCGTCAAGGCAATACACCTGACAATTACATCAACACTCTTTGGTTCTGTCCATCAGTTCAGAGGTTTTGGTGCCAGATATGTGAAGACTTATCAAAGTGTATAAAATGTAACATTCGAGCCTCCCCTTTAGTTTGCTTTTTGGGCAGCCTAGATGATGTTACTATGGAGATGAACACCTCGGCACCTTATCCATCACTAAGAAGACTGTCCTTATGAACTCGACAAATGAAAATAATCTTAGAGACCTTAAAACCAATATAGAGACCATTTGTCGGATCATATCAGTCTTGAGACAGCTTCTGCCACTGCATCAGGCCAATCTCTCTGAGCTCCTTTGATTGGCTCCATCATCTAGTGGAAGTTGGGTTGGTGCGTGCATTGGGGCCTGTCCCTGGCCCAGGAGGATTCGGTGCATTGGTGGAACTGGAGGCCCCTTTAGCTGGCAGGGAGGTTTTTACCATGTTTTGCAGGTGCTCTATACTTTTGAGGAGATCACTCTGCAGGAGGGGGGATCTACCAGAGGTGGAGGATGGGCTCAACCTGGGTGTCTATTGTTTTATGTAGTCTGGGAGTTGACTGAATGTTGGGTTGGGGTTGGGTGTAGTCTTTCCTCTGCAGTGGGGTTGGGTGGGCCAGTGATTGGTGCTAGTTTCAGTCATTATGCAAATGTACTGTTTATAAGATTGGGGAAGCCACTTGGATGAGTGATGAAACATTTCTCCCACTGAAAACGTTACGTCCAGATGAACAGAATAAACTTTTGGAGATTTACTTACCTGGATGATTGAGCATGCATCAAGACCTGTGTATGACTGTTTGTCTATGTGTCAAGTCAGGTCTTAGACTCTCCCTCTCTCTTAGAACATGCCAGGCCTGGGGGACCAGGTGTGGGGCCTATTTCCCGACGCCACAATCCATGCCAGTGGCTGGTGCCCCCACCTGCCGCCATTGGTGGTCTTCGGTGTCCGGGGTTTGAATGTTTAGGTGTGTGCTGTTTTGCCGCCAGAGGCTCCCTGCCTCTGTCGGGCACCTGGCAGGTTCCTTTCTCTCTTCATCCCTCTTCTTCCCCTTTATTGTTCTCTCCTTCTCTTTCTGTTACATTTCTTTATTTTCTTTCTTTTTTTGTTTCTGTCCCCCAGTCTTGTCTGTTATGGTTGTAATAATCCAAAAAAAAAAAAAAGTTCTAGTAAAATATGACGACCAGGTGGACCATTATAGTGAATATCGTAATGCTACACCTGTGAAAGTAAATTTGCTGGGCATTTTTTGGCCTTCAGACAACAATTCCGACGTTAAACTGCTGGACAGGACAAGAAAAAAAAAGCCTTTAATATGCACAGCCAACTTATAGTAAAAGACAAAACAAAACAGAACTATAAAAAATAAAGAAAATGAAAACATGAAGAAAAACATGAAAAAATAAAATTACTAAACAGCAGCAGTGAGAAAACTGAACATCGTGTCAAACATTGTTTGTGCAAAAATTCCAGTCAGTTGAAAGTGTTAATCACATTCATCGATAACCAGTTCATATCTTAAATACTGCTGTGTCGACAGCACACTCACACAGCGTCTGATTGGTTTGGGGAATTGCAGGTTGCTTGCAGGTTAACGTGTCTGCACTTGTGTAGGATGTGGTTACAGATTGATCCAGTCGAGTGGCACTTCACTCTAACAGCCTACATACATCTGCCCATTTTCTAGGACAGAGGTGTCAAACTCTTTTTAGTTCATGTGCCACACGCAGCCCACTTTGACCTCAAGTCGGCTGAACCAGTAAAAATATTTTATAATAATGGAGATATAAAACATGGAGTAATTGATGACAGGCTGCAGTTTTTAGATTTTGCAGTGGTATGGATTAGACTTTCTGGCAGGTTTGACACTCCTGTCCTAGAAAATATTACCACAGACCGATGTTTCTTTACATGGCTGTCATTTGTCTTACTGTGCAACTTGTTTGCAACCTCCTGCTGCAAAGAGACAGGTTCTGCCGTCTGCCAAGCCTCTTTAACATCTTATCATCAAGAGCCAACATTTCTCAAGTTTTGATATAATATGAATCATTTACTGACTAATATTTCTATGCAGGCTAGAGAGGACAGCAGAGTATAATCATCTGTTTGCGCACATCTCAAATTTGTATGTCAATGAAAATAAAGATAACAATAGATAAAGTCCAAAAATGGAAACATTTGATAAGATTATGAGCTGTGCTTAACAGCTAAATGAAACTGAGTTCTTGGCAAGACAAAGGGCAGCTGTAACAATCCACAATACATGAAAAGCTTTGATCCTTGTGTGGCTACAACATGAATGTGATGTCTTTGTCTTGAGTTTTTTTAAAATCCTCTTTGACCAAAACATTATCTGGGCTTTATTGAGCCATTTTGCAAAAAACAAACAAACAAACAAAAAAAACCCTAACCCAAAATGCAATATATCAACACTATTTTGCACTCATTTTTTTATGCACAGTAATGTTTGTTTTTCCCCCCTGTTAAATAACCTTTCTAAAAAAAATGTACACTGATCCTAGAACAAAAATATCTTCATCATCATTAAATCTTTTTCAGAAAAAATATTATTAAGTTTGAAATAAAAGCCTGAATTATCAAGTGTCAAATTAATTACCAGCTGTTCTTTAGAGGAACATCATACAAAAGGTGTGTAGTGTGTACATCTGATACTGATTTCATACCAGATGTTCAGTTTCAGACGCAGCATTATTGTTCATAATTACTGCATAGGCGGTTTCCTAAAGAACATGCAAGGAAATTACAATAGATTGGATCACCTCATATACACCCCGTATAACATATTTTAATTTATTCTACTGTTTAAAGACAGTGCAGTCAAAACACCCTCCATATCTGGATCTGGTATTTCTGAATTTTCTCTGAAACTCTGAACTTTTATAGTTTCTTCAACATTAGTCATAAAAACATCAAATGAAAGGAAAGTGTTATTAGAGTCGCCAGCCTTAAAAATCAGCACTTAAAAGCTCCTGAGATTAGAGGCCACATTAATGCTTTACAGAGGTCATGCTACAGACACATCTCAACCAGAAATGAGCAGACTATGTGAAATCAGTTCTTCATGGTTGAGTCGCTGAAAAGACCAGAGGAAATCTGGACTTTTGATCTGAAGAGTCCAAATGTGAGATTTTTGGCTCCAGCTGCAGTGTGTTTATGAGACTAAATTTTGATCCAACACTTTAAAGCTAATTTGCATTGTTAGATTTTTCCCTTTTCATCATTTAAAAAAATATGTATGCTAACTGAATAGGTTTTACTTCACAAAAATAAACCATTTTCAGAAACAATGTTGTTCTCTAGTCTGTTACTAATCAGTAAAATTTGCTATGTGTTGAAAATTCTGACTCAGTTTCATTTTGCAGAGTACTGCAGCGGGGTATCTAATCTCCCCATCTCCGCTAACTTGTGTGCATTCAGCAAATTTTTCCTCTTTGGTTTATTCCACAGAGTGCAGGCTAATACCCATGAGCCCTGCAGCTGAAACAGCGGTCAGTCAAGAAGAAAGAGGTTCCCGACATGCTCTTTCATGGCTTTTGTTCGATTTCATTTCAAATATAACCTCAAGCTGGCTGCTTTACAGCCAGTGTTTACAAGTCCTAAACCCTTCCAGGCTCATCGTGTTTTTAGTGTCAGCTGCTGGCACATTTGACTTTTTTGTCTCTTTAAAAGAATTTTTTTTTTATTTCCACCCAAATCCCTTTGCAGCTGGGAGTCTTTTGCGCGAGTCGATTTAAAGCTGCTGGAATGCTTGTGTCTGTTGTTGAAGTGGAAGGGCGACCTTTGTGTATATTTATTAGTGAATTAACTTTTAAACTTTATGAACAACATATGCAAATATTTTCAGTGATCAATGCAATAAATTCCATATGCATTAGACATGGTTTTAGATAAAAGTCAGTGGACACCTGTGAGCTTGACGGTGTTAAAATAAGAGAATGGGTAGCATACGTAGCATACATTCTTCTGCTCAATGCTCAGCTGTACAGATTTTTATAGATGTGACTGTTGATCATTGTTTTGTTTTTTTTGCTTTGAGCCTTTAAAATTTGTAATTAAAAGACTACTTCAATTAACTATCTGGTTTTGTTTTTGTTCTTCTTGTTTTTTTAATTTAAGGTTTAACCCCCTGTCTGTGGACGCCGTAGATGAGAGTTCCTTCAAATACCTGTCCAACTTGCAGGTGCTGGACACCGGTGCAGGAAACCCTGACCTCCCCATTCAAAAAGAGGAGATCGAAGAGGAGCAAGACTAGACCTGGGTTGATCGAACTATAATTGGACTGCATTGCATCAAAGACAGAAAGAGTTTTTAAATGGGGAATGTACCTGTGAATATTATTTCCCAGGTTCATTTTTGTATCGTGGCAGCGTCACATATTTCTGGTGCAGGAAACCGGATGGGGTTACTGATGTTTCCATTTTTTTGGGCTGGTTATTAATGCATATCTTTATATCTGACCTTTAATTATTTTTGTCTTTGATCATTTTATTGTTTCTGTGCATTACCCTCAAAGATTTATTGGCAAAATCTAATGTGAACCTTCCCATGTAAATGTTTCTGAATCGATACAAAGAATGTAAGCAGAGTGAAAAATTCTGCTCCCACTGTGTGTGTCTTTCTCTGCTTTCTCAGCCTCTTTTCCTTCAAAGTCGCCTGCCTTGGCTCATTGCATTAAAAAAAGAGTGATTTTACTTACAATACTGTGAAAACATTTGAAACAAAAGTGCCAATATAAGTACACGATTTCCAATGAAACCAACAAAGCCACAGAAACTGTTGAATCAAACCTGGCTACAAGTATTCTCAAAAAAGGCTGCAATTTAATGTCACTATTCTGAACGTAGAGCTTAGTTTTTACATAAGTAATTGAAGTTTTAGGAATAACACAGAAGATCTAAAACATTTAAAAAATCTCAAGCGTTTATTTTTAAAATGGTAGAGAAAGAATGAATAGCAACAATGGGAAAGCTTTAAAGCTGCATTTCATCACCATAATATCAAATATATTTATTCATCAGCGTTTGAGTCGTTCACTAGATTTGCATTCTGTAATTGCTTCCTTTTGTTTCTGTCAGAGTTTACCAATCTGGGAGAGAACACAAAAGCCCCCTGTGGAGTTTTCTGGTAAACAATCAAAAGTTTACATTCCATTTTACAACCGAAAATGTGTTGAATGTGTTGCATTTTGCTTCCTCATAAAACATTTGCAAAATCAGTTTTCTGCAAGAAAGCTTCCTCCTCTGAATCATCTGGACACGATATAGCCACCTGTTAGAAACTCCAAAGTGAACCACTAAATGTTAATGGACAAGAGGCTTACAGGAAACGCTACGTTAGCTAAATTAGTTTAACATTTAAACCTATTTTCTGCACATTCCAGCACATGAAATAAAATATTTTTTGTTTTTACACTCACTCTTTCAAATAGATGCAAGTAAAACACAGCAGAAAATAAATAAAGTCAAAGACTCAGCGGTCCTGTTGCTCTATTTTCACCTGTATAGCAGGAGTGACGTAGGCGGAGGTGTGCTCTGGTGCAGGTGTGCCGCAGCGGTCAGTTGAAGAATCCACGAGTTTCTCTGTGAATTTCCCATTACATCGTTGCGCACTCGGAGCTTGTTTGGGGGGGGTTCGGTGTAAAAAGAAGTTTTCTTCCCACGCACAACGGACACTAATGTTTTTGTCACTTTTTATGAAATCAAACTCAAAGTAAGGTCAGTACTTCCACGCTTTAAACGCTGCACGCTCATACTCTCTCCTACACTCGATATATGATCCATTGTTGATCTGCACACAGCTGTTGTCATGAACGACGCACTCGCTTACGTCACTGTCATGAGACATTCTTGCAAAAAAAATCACGGTTTTAGTAACGCAGTGTTCCTATGACAAAGTAACAGTAATCTAATTACCGAAAAGAGTAGGTGGAGTGGACGAGGGTTGCAAAGCAACTTGCAGATGTGCAGAACTGTAGGCAGGCTTAAAAAATGGGAGATTTTTATTATTGTTGTTATTGTTATTATTAGTCCAAAAACACCAGACATAAATCTTTACTGTTTTTTATGATTTAATTATACTCTGGTTTTTCTAGTGTATCTTTTAGAAATGGGGTGCTAAAAAGGAGGTGAAAGACAGAAGTTCTGTCAGAGTCCAATAAGTCCTTAAAAGACAAATTTGTACCCATTAGCAATGACTCTACTAGTAGACTAGTAAGTCTTTCCTGTAAGAAAAAAAAAGACATAAAACTGATATTTTATCTGCAAAAAATATTTTCTTGTTTTACGTGTTAAGGTTTATTCACTCCTTCATATTAAGGACTATCTTAAGAGCGTCCTTTAGATGAATTACAGCCAAATTTTAGTATAATGTCAGAAACATAAAGTGAACAGGAGACTGGTAATTGATTCTGTCCACTCAGAACATATTTGCTGCCATCAATTATCAATATACGTCACTTGTGAATAGACATCTTACCTTCATGCTGTTTAACAAAAAATAAGTTAACTAAAATCATAATGAGTGGTAAGATAAGATAAGATAAGATAAGATACTTTTATTAGTCCCACAAGTGGGAAATTTCAGATCAGATAATTTAAGATAAAAATTATAACGATTTTTTCTGCTATTACTAAACAGTTTGGATAAATCGTAATGTTTTACCAGCGAGTTGGTTTAATAATAGCAATAATCTTGAAAAGCAGTGATTTACCTGCAGTGAAGGTAAATATACATATTATTTTCCACTATGATTAATAACATTTGCTTGCGAATGAAATATTTTAATTCTATCAACAAAACCGGAGCTTCAACCAGTGCTGATTTTACTGACCCTTTAGTTCATTCATGTTTTCTAACAGGATACATATTTCAGCATAAAATCTCACTTTATTGATATGAATGCAATATTGTCATACATAGTCAAAAACACAAGAATAAATTATTTGAAAAGGCTGAAATCTGTTCGCTGTTTCTGCAGCTTCTCCCACACATGGCAGTGTCACTGCTCTGTGTGGAGCTATAGCAGATCTGTTCAGTATTATAAAAAAAAGCAGGACACTAGCCAGAGAAAAACACATCTCAGTCTGTATGCTCTGAATTCTCTGGTATTTACTGTGTAAAGAGCTGAGAAAAATTATTAATGGAATGACAAAACAGATGAAAACATACTATTTGGAAGAGTACATTTCTGCCTTTATATGACAAAATTGAAATGTACAGTAAGAAAATGTTCTTAATAATTATAATTTTGGATCATGATGGAAATTCTCTTTCTGGAGCGGCAAAACTGCAATGGTAATTTATAAATAGCATGTGCTCTATGCTTTTTCTGCAAATGTGCATTAAATCTAGATTCTTTCCAATAGCCTGCAGGCGGCCATGCCTCTGAGTTGCTGAAAGAAGTATGACTGTATAGACATTGATTTATGACCCAAGTAAAAACGTTCCAAATGAATGCAAGTATTCTTTATTTTAAATTTGCGTTCCCATATAGAGTAAAATGGGCGTTAGGTTGTGTTAGGTTTGAGATACCCTTTGAGTGAGTTTGTCAAATCTTCAGTTATATCACCATCTCAAACGGTACCAAGCAGTCCACAAAGCAATTGGTAAAATCATGGTGCCTGTGTCAAGTATTACGCATGCACATATGTGATATGTTTGCTGACAAAGCCAGTGGAAAGAAACTATAGTTCACAATTTTCCAGCAGTTTCAATGTAAGACGATATGTCAATAAATAAAAAAAAGAAGAAGGAGATGGTGCTGTTCTAAGAGGTTTATGAAAGTAGCTTATTATTAACTAGAGTAAAATGACATGAACAGTCGGTCAGGGTGTTTGTTGCTAGTTAGTTGCAACTTAGACTGTCTTTGCAGTTGTTATATAGATATTTTAGTGAAGGAAAATGGCGTGAATATCCAGGCCCGTGCAACATATTACGATCTTAATTTCCATTCAAAGACGTCTCTGACTGATTTCTTTCACTTATTCAAGTTTCATCTCCCTGTGGTGAATTAGCAAGTGTTTGCTCCCTACTGGCTGTCACCCAGTAACAGCCAGTAACCTCCAGTAGTCGAGGAATAGACAGCTGTGGTGGTGGGGTGTGTCACTAACCAGCAGTGTTGGGGAGTAACGGAATACATATACCGACATTGCGTATTTAAAATACAAAATATGAGTAATTGTATTCTGCTACAGTTATCATTTAAAAAGGTGGTATTTAGAATACGGTTACTTTGTTGAAATAAATGGATTACACTGCGGTACTTTCCTGTTTCATATTGTCACGGGTTGTTTGGGTTTGTTTGACAGCTATGTTCTGTTGTTCCAGGCGGCAGCGCGCTCTCTCTCTGCGACTGTGTGCCTCCTGGGTGAGAGAGAGCCCGACATGAACCCGCCGTATTAGTCAGAGGTCCCTTTACTACAGTTCGGAGTCGCGGACCTTCGGTAATAGTAATAAATCACACAGCAATAGTACATTCACGTAGTTGTAAAAAGCATGATAATATATTAAGTAATCCAAAGTATTTAGAATACGTTACTGTCATTAAGTAACGTAACGGAATACGTTACAGAATACATTTGGGGGAATGTATTCTGTAATCTGTAGTGGAATACATTTTAAAAGTAACCTTCCCAACGCTGCTAACCAGTGTGAGTGATACACTTATATAGGTCACTTTACAAAAACATTTTTTTACATGTGTGTTATAGTCGGATTAATTTAATTGTAGCATAAGTTACCCAAATCTGACTATTGAACTCCTTTAAATAGCTCAACTTTTAGATGCGTTTCCAGATGGAACAAGGCATGTAGTTTTCCATTCCCTTCTTCTACTGGAGTTGGGATTGGGTGAAATAATTTAGGTTGGGTATTGACAGGAGGAAGCTCCCCCAGTGCTTTATTGGCTTACTACATAAATGAGAAAAAAATAACCAACTAACACAGCAGAAATGGAAGAGCTGGTTAGTAACTTAATGTTTTATTGAAATGTGCCAATTTCTGTTTGATATCAAGTCAACTGACAAACATTTAATTAAATTACTAGTGGATGTTTTCAGGCTGCTAATATGCCAGAAAGCTTAATTAAATCAAATGATCCTGAGGCTGTTCAAACACATAAAACAGTTCTAATCTCTGTTTTAAACACATATCAAAGTTATAACATCACTACAGGGGTGGGTACAAATTCAGTTCACTCAACTTCCTCTTGTCCCATAATAACCATCAGCCTAGCACCACCAGCTTTGTTAAGGCAAACTTAAAAAATGTGTGCATTTCACTTTGCCTCCTGATCATTTAGCTCCAAGCAGACATCCTGTCTCATCTTTTATAATGCAAACAGCTGGCTGCTTGCAGTACAGCAGTACAAAAAAATACATTGTCAAAAAACAAAACAAAAACAAAAAGTCATAAAAAATGTATATATCAAATAAAAATTATTGAATCAATGCAAGTAATAGCAGGTACAGGACCAAGGACAAATTTTATAATAGAAATCATATCATTGTCCTTGTGTTGCCATAAATTCCACTGTAAATGCGCTATTGTGGAGTCTTTTGCAACTGCTTTACTTTAAAAGGTTTTTGTGGAGCTAGATGAGCTCATCTGTATTGTCCTTCTGCCTGCACGGGTGTCCTTTGCTGCTGCGCTCCTTTCAGCATAACTTACAGAGAACCATTCAAACTGCAAGAGGAGGCTATACATTGGTCTCAAGGCCATTCATATCTATAGTGCAGTGTTCTTTGCTCTTCTTCAGATGTCTCGGAGGAATTGGAGGTTTCTTCCTGTCTGAAAGCGGCCGAACACCCTCCTCCAGTTGTATGAGTTGAGCCACTTCAGGAGGGATGAACTGGTGTTTGACCCCTAAAGGAGGGGGTCGGCAGTTGCCATTGTTGGTGTGGCAGTTCATCACAGGAGGGGTGCTCATTGCTGTTTTGGTCTCACAGATCAAAGGTACCTGTAGATTGGATAATATATGGGACTACTTGAAAAAATCTGGAGTGCTCAGAAGGTTCTCTTTGTTAAGGAAACCAAAGGTTGAAAAGGAAAAATGATCCAAGGCTATTGAAGTGCCACTTCTTGTGGTTGTAATACATTTTAGTTTTTAACAAATACATTTTTCCAATGGCAAAAATAAATAATGAAATTATTAGATTATTTTTTCCCATTATTTAAATGTTCATCAATTGTGTGCAATTTTTTTTTTTTTAGCTCAGTCTCCAAAATCTTTGTATGTTGTGTAAAACGTGCACAAAAGATTTGGAAGCCATTTAAACCCCAATTACCTTCAATAGAAGTATTTTTGAATTATTGTATCAGTTTTCTAAACCACTTGTCAAACTCAGGGTGACTAAAGCTGTGATAGGATGAGAGGCGGGGCGCGTCCTGCACAGAGCATCAGTCAGTCAACTAACATCAACAACAACTAACAAATCAGATTTCATTATTAGTCACTGCCGTTTTGTACTGTTCAATTACAACCCCAATGAAAAAAATAAAAATGTTGAGGCACACAACGATGTGTGCTGCTGGTAAAGTTTCTGGGCTGCCTTTCCTCATAACAGCCACCCCTCAAGATTCTCTCCATATAAAGCAATGCAATATCAGGGACTCTAACATCCAGTCCTTTTACTGAATTCCACATGCTTTCAACTGGTGAAAGGCATGGAGTGTCTGGACGGGAGGATATATTGCTCTAAGACCTTTACATACCTTTCAGCATTGATGGTGCCTTTCCAGATGCTTTCACATCTGGAAAGGCACCATCAGAATTGGCTATTCTGATCATGTTCACATGCGCCTTCATCTTTGCATGATACAGCTTTAACCTACATTTGTGAATGGCATGTTGAATTGTGTTTAGAGAGTGATTTCTGGAAGTGTTCCTAAGCCTATGTAGTATTAATCATGTCTGTTTTTAATGAAGTGCTGCCCCAGGTCCTGAAAATCATAGTCATCCACTACTCATTTTCAGACCTGTCCCCAGATTCTGAATATTCTGACTTTGAATATTAGATTTTTATTATGTGCTGCAGATGATGAGATATTCTCACATTTCTACATGCATTATTTTGCAGATTAGGGAGCCTCTGCCCTTCTTTACTTCTGAGAAACTCTCTAAGATTCTCTCTTTATACCCAATGGCACTGATCAGTTGCCAGTTAACCCAATTAGATGCAAAATGTTCCTCCAGCTGTTTCTTTTTAGTGCTGCTCACTTTTCTCAGCTTAAAGGTTTATGGGAATCTTGTGAATCATTTCATTCTGTCTTATTTGCATTTTATACACCATGTCAACGTTTTGGAACTGGGGTTGTAATTGCTGTCTAAAGGATTGCAAATGATTTGATGAAAGTAGGGAGGGGCTAAACCTAAAATTATAGTAAATACACACTTAAATCTTCAGTTTCTTCTAAATGTCTACTACTTAGCCAAATCTCTAAAAATGCGTGAAACAGAACTAATAACGTTTTCAGCCCCAAGAAGCAAACTATGGGCTCAATCACCCCAATTACCCAAGTCCTTTGAAACATATTGTCATTAAAACTCACCCCATCTCCCTCTTTCATGAAGTCTTTTCTGCAGATGTGTGCCATGATGCCTGTGGCCAAAGCATCCCCCATTACATTGACCATGGTGCGAAATCTGTCTCTGTAAAAGAAGAAGACATTTAAGACACTTTTTATTTGGACCGATAGAAATCGAGTCAGTAGAGCTGTTGTCGGTTTGGATATTTAATACATTTTAGAAGTGATATGCAACTTACAATGCCCAGTCTACTGCAATGATGAGAGTGATGTCGTCAGTTGGCAGACCAACAGATGTTAGCACTATCACCATGGTGACCAGCCCAGCTTGTGGTATTCCTGCTGCACCTATGCTGGCTGCAGTAGCAGTGATGCTGTTGGAGAGATGGGAGGTGAAGTTAATTAAAGTAAAAAAGCTGATGACAAATATAAAGTGGACGACTTCTTCTGCTGAAACAGTACACGTGTGACAGAAAATATGGCAAAGCAGAACAGCTCTACTTTAAAAACTGCTTCTTTGTCCAAATAAACCCCTAAAGTGACAAAGAATGCTTTCAATTTGCATTTATGCCAACCAGACTCCCTGAGTAACCCAGAGGGTTAGTGTTAGAGAAGAGGAAGCTAGACAAAGGGTGAGACGGAGTCAGATCATCCACTGTGGAGACCCCTGAAGGGAGCAGCTGAAAGAAGATGTTTCTGTGACAGAGGTATTGGTCCATGACATCAACTGTTGTGGAATTTTAACTTCAAATATAGTCCTGATATTCTCACATACTTTTACTGATTGTTTTCCCCCCCATATGTGGTGGTTCTAATTCATTTTTCCATCTATTTTTGTTCATCAGGATTTGTTGTGTTTAGTTCATTTTTGTGCTGAATGCAAATACTTTAAAGTAAATTAAAGACTCTTCTTGCCTAATTTGTTTTGTGGATTATATCTCAAGGTGAGCCTGGCCCCAAAAGTACACAATAATGTTAATAATGTCTCTAAGGCAACTGTCTAATTGGGAAGCCTCTTATCTGGTGTAAAATGTTGGCACATTGGATATCTGGTGCAGCTCCAGAGTTTGACGAAGAGATGATCCCACAACTCACTACACCACAGTCTGGGGTGAAATGATGAAATGGGAGTTAGGGTCAGAAACTCAACCATGATATCACAGGAATATACTGGTTTATTGAGGCCACGTGGCTCTTCAGTGATAAGTGATAAGCTGTCATGTTTATACTACATCTATAAAAGCGTACTCTGGCTAATGACAGCCTTCCTTTGTCCTCCGCTTGTCAATTTTTCTAATTTTATGGAAAAACTGGTTCTCATGCAGAGATTTACAAAGTTTTCAGTTTTCACATATTAGTTCCTTCTACCACAGATCTGAGCAGAGGAGGCAATGAGACAACACAAGGAGCGAGGAGTCAAGGAAACAGGCATTTGGAGCCTCATTTTAAAGCAATGAAAACCAATTAAACATGATGTATTATACACCTGCGTCATAAATAATTTTATTATAGCCCATATATAGGTGTACACAGGGGTAACAGTGCCCATGGCATTTTTTATTTTTTTCTTTACAGCCACTTTTAATTATTTTCACAACATTACACAATGTGAAAGAGTTGAAGGTAAAGACACTTCAGCAAAAGATACATCTGTGCATCCTTGGTTATAGTTCCTACAGAAGCCTCTTCTCTCCTCTGTCCTCCATATGTTTTAGAAGTGTAGAAATTAGAGGAATGAGAGAAGCTCAAAGATTCCTTAAACAGGAAGAAAGCATCTGCAGGGCCAGCCTCTTACACTAATACTGAATTTGAGAAAAGTTCTACTTTTCTTTGCTTTTTCTAAAGAATCTCAGAAAGACAGTATCCTCCATCAGCATTTTGTCAACCAGACCATGGGAGCCTGTAGTTCTCTGTAGTACTTGTTTCTTATCACCAGCAGAGTCCACAGGGAAATGAGACACTTGACTGAGAAAATGTATTAGAGTGTTGGTTTACTTCATCTCATTTATTATATTTATTATCTCAAGGAATGCCAGCAAGCCATTTATTTGTTATTTTTATTTATTTCCGTCTGTTATAAGCCCTTGTTTGTTTTCTGTGATTTATTTTTCCACATCTGTCTTCCAGCAAGCTCCTCTGCATGTTCAGCACCAGTAGATGTTGTTTCCCACACAGAAATAGTGTTTATAAGTAGTGGTTAAAGGGAAACTTATTTTATCTACTTCTTCTTTTTTTGTTTTAATCTTGAAGGCATCAGTATGCTTCAATAGATTTGTTGGTAGAAGTCTACATTTCCCTTATAAAGCTCCAAAACCAACTATCCAACAGCAATGTTCACTGTGAGCATCATTTTACACATAGTAGTCTGATATGACAGACAATTAAAACTACATGTGTGGCTACTGAGCTTAGTTTTTAGCCCATAGTTTGATGTGGTTGATGAATTACGCTGGAACAATCTATTTAAAAAGTCCCTTCAGAAGTTGCAGCCTCTCACTTCGGCGAAGCCTGAGGTCTGGCTGTCATTCACACCAGCAGGCACAATAATACATTCATCAGCGTATTCTTTCTCGAGCTTGAGTCTCTGTGATGATCAGCATGATGAGCCATTCTTTTACGTGCATCCATTGCTGTGCTTGAGCAGCTCTCTGCTGCAACAGTGAATCACTGGGATGGGCTTTCAAACATTTTTTCAGCTTCAACACAAAAACATAAAGCAGCATTATAAACAGATTTCAGCTGCTGACAACTGTCTAAAATTGAAACTCTTCAACTTGAATTTTATTTTGTGAAAGGAAAATAAGTCCCTGAGAGACAAATCTGATGAACAGGGTGTTGTGGTGATGAGCATTGTGTTGATGTGGCAAAAAAACCCACTCCTGCAACTTCAGTGTGTTGTGTGATACGTAAAACACGATTTTACGTATCACAGTTCAGGTGGTTTGTAGCGAATGTTTTTCCTCAGAAAACGCAGGATGGTACACTAAATCTCCTCACCACCTCCTGAACAAATTTGTGGTGCACTGCAAGATAAATACCTTCTGTTTTGGACACTGCAAGCCCTTCAATTGAAACCTGCTGTTCGGTCATTAAGCCTGACACCGAGGTCTAATCACCAGAGATGATCCTTGACATGAAAGGTGGTTAAGTTTGACACAGAAGGTGATGCTTGCTCTGAGTTAGTGCAGCCCTCTGATCAGAACAGGGCCCTATTTCAGGAAGCCGGTTTAGAAAACTCAGAGTGAAAAACGATACTCAGGGTTGAGTAACCCTGAACTGTCCAACTCGGAATATTCGGTTTCAGAAAGGCTGATAACAATTAGTTCAATCAACGCGGAGTTGCTTTAACCCCAAGTGAAGCGCGCGGACGAGGATACATAAAGCCCTGATAAGCGGAGCACAGATTAAGCGAGTCACCATGGAGACGGAGGGAAAGAAGGCGCGGTCAATGTATTTCACAGCGCTTGAGGCCGAAATTCTGATGGCAGCATATGCTGATAACATGCAAATTTCTCAGAAAAAAAGTAACACAGCCTCAGCTGCAAAAGAAAGGGAGCATGCATGGCAAAACATAGCCGACAGAGTCAATGCGTGAGTGTTAATATAAACATTGATCGAGGGATTTCCACCCATTTAACACGTTATTTTATCATATGTTATTTTATTTGTTATTTTATACATTTTATTTTGTGACGTGATGTGAGCGCAGGTGCAACCCAACAGGCCCCAAACGTTCCTGGCAGCAAGTAAAAATGAAATATAAAAATATAGTCCAAACAGGTAAGGTGTAATTGTATTATGAGCCATAGTGCTTGGTCTGTTTGTCCTATGTAAATCAATTGCAGTTAGAGGCTACATTAATTTTCTTTCTGTAATTATTGAAATTATCTGAGCACATTACAAGTACATATTTGCTTACTCTGTATGCTCAAATGTGACCCCGTTATAGCCAACAGAAAAAAAGCGGAGGCCCAAAAAAACAGGTGGGGGTCCTCCACCACCACCACTCACAGAGGCTGAGCAGTTGGCCCTCAGCCAAAACAGTGGGCGCCCCTGTGGCCGAAGGCATCTCTGCGGGGACATCCTCTGAGTCAATAACCCCGCAAGACACAAGTGCCTACATAGGGGGTAAATTCAAAATAATACATGATGTGCATACATCCTTTCTTCACAGTCACCTTTGCAGTGCTACTCATTCATTTGATAAACTCTTTACCATAATGGATTATTTTGTAGTGAAGTTATTTTCCTACTGATTTTGCCTTGCCTCAGGCTTGGTTGTCTTTGAGAGCATAATGACAATGAAGTGTAAGGTGATTGGTATGTTTGTTAATTGCCATTTGGTCCCTTGTAAGTTATAAGTGACCTGTATAAACCTCATATTCTATCAGTTGATGGTGATGGTGTACTGCATCTGGTGCAGCCTCCTGTTGAGCCAGACCAACATGCAGTTGTGAGTAATACTCCACAGATTATATGAGTTTACAGTAGAACAGCAATGTTGTTAACTTCTTTACTACAGGAAAATAATGAAGAAACATTGACAGCTGTTACAGAGGAGGAAGCAACAGAGACACTTTATGAGGTTTACATCTTTTAATACTTTGTGTACAGGAAACACAGGCGACCAATAAAGCCAGTTGAACAAAAAATCTGTTTATTCTTCTTTCAACATGTTGAGGTGATGGGTCAAAAGAAATGATTGTGACATATGGTGTCTCTGACTGCTCTTCCATCTTGTATGTCCGTGGGAGGGTCAGGATGTTCATGGTTTGGATCACTGCTGATGTCTGGTTCAGAAGGACAGTGTTCTCCTCTAATTGTGGCAATGTTGTGAAGAATCACACATGCCACAATAATGTCACATGCCCTTTCTGGGGTGACCCTGAGTCTTTGCAGGCACTGGAACCGGGCCTTAAGCATTCCGATAGTCATTTCAATTCTGGCTCTTGTCCTGCAATTAGCCAGATTATATCGCTGCTGTGGGCCCGGTTCAGGGTCAGGGTAAGGGGTAAGCAAATAGGGTAAACATGGATACCCCCTATCACCAAGCAAGTAGCCAGTGAACTCTCCTAAGACAGAAGGATACACTTCAGTTCAAATGTCCCTGAAGCAATTGGTCTTTATATATTTTAAAGTATTCTCAACTCACCATGTCCAAATTTTGTGCTCAGTGTACATTCACGGAATATTTGTGAGTCATGGACAGAGCCTGGCCACTTGGCTTCCACATTTGTGATAATGTTGGCAGCATCATATATGATCTTCACAGTGCAGAGAACACAAATTAGCATCCATTACTATAATGAAATAATTTGTTAGTTTGAAATGCTACAGGGAACTATGTACCTGCACATTAATGCTGTGGAAAGACTTCCTGTTCACATAGTCTCCTTCATTTACTGAAGGAGCAATGATTGGAATGTGAGTGCCATCTGTATAGCCAATCACGCCTGGGAACCGTGAAAATAAATGTAAAATTTAAGTAGTAGTCCAAGTATCACCACATCATAAATTAAGTTTTGGTCATCCTGATACCTGCAATTTTGTGGCATCCCTCTTTGATAAATCTTGTGGGTCTATGACCGGGGAACACCACAGACGAGGAGACGTTTCAGTGCAACTGTAACATTCCTGACTGCCCGACAGACGGTAGCCTTGGAAACGTGCTCAGCATCACCAATATTATACAGAAAGCTCCCGTTTGCAAAAAACCGAAGTGCAATACAAATAATATGTACAGAACTGAGAGGATGTCCACGATGTGTCACATGCGTAATATATGGCCTGAGGATGTTATCCAAATAACTTATAGATTGTGCTGAGAAACGGTAACGTTCACACAGAAAATCATCAGGAAATGATAAAATGTCCAAACGCGCTCTGATCACTCTCTCCCGGCGGAGAGCTCTGCGGAGAATTTGGGCTTCACGATCTACTGGCTCTTCAAGGAAGGGGCACGCCATGTCCGACACTTCCTACTGTCAGGTTTCCGACAAAGGGGCGGAGACAGTCAGGGTTAGTTGTAGTAAACCTGCTAGGGGGCAGGTTAGCTTCACGGAGTGTGTCGTCATAGTGACTCACTGAGGCTTCATCTGAACTCGCTTTGTGAAACCGAAAACCCAGAGTTTTCGTTAACTCAGGGTATACTTACTCAGTTTTTCCACTAAACCGGCTTCCTGAAACAGGGCCCAGGACTTCCAGCGTGATTAATGTAAAGCATATGAATGACTAAAAATATTCAATGATACTTACATGGCTTTGTCAAAATAAATAAAGTCAATTAAAATTACATTTAAAAAAGGTTTACTGACCTGATGGTGATGATCTGACCGAAGTCCAGCTCATAATTATTAACTTGTGCAATGAATATTGCTGCAACAGCCTCATAGAGAGCGGTGCCGTCCATATTGATGGTTGCACCCACGGGTAGCACGAAACGGATGATGCGACGGTCAATGTGGTTGTTCTCTAAGAGGCACTTGAAGGTTATAGGCAAAGTGGCTGAGCTGAGGAAAACGAAGAAAAAGACAGAGAGGACAGCTAATAAAAAAAATAAATATGAAGCCTCCTAATTTCTCTCAGGTATGCATGCAAACAAACACAATCTGTTCATTCATGCTGACTAAGAATAATAATGCTTTGCATGACAGCATGCAGCAGATGCTTTTTACTAATCTGAGTCTAGCAAACACATGCATGCGTGATGAAGCCAATCTGACCCCAAAGACCTCAGAAGAACTCCGTCTTTGTCAGTCTGCGTATGCAACAAGGAATGATTTGTTTAAAACTGAATAGAAAATAGAATAGAAAACATTAATAGACCATAGCAGTGCTTTTGGAGAGGTTTAACCAGTTTATGTCAAATCACATATTGTTGAGGTGCATTTTCTAAAGTATACTGTTGTGTTTTTCACTTTAGAGCTTCCCTACCTACAACTTGTTTTCATTCGTTTACACACGAGATACAAATGAAGGCAGTCACAGATCTACCACAGCAAACACAATGTCTGCCAAATACATGCAAAAACACTGACATGGTCATCTAAATTAAAACTAAAGCCTGTTTTTGTTATAGAATATGATCTGTCAGCATGCACACATGATACACAAGCATCAGTGGAGTCTGTTTAAAGACACGTGGAATGCTCTTTTACTTTTCCCTCTCTTCCCACACACCAGATGTTTTCTGATCAGCCAACAGCCCTTTGAGATTTTTCACAGTAAAGGTTCCAGTAAAAAGGAAGAAAAGAATAAGTGTTGTTAAGACTCGGGGATGTTTTATTTTGACTCACATATGAGATGATAAAATGAGTTACTGATGTTTTCCTTTTGTAACGCATTCATTCTGTCTATAATAAGTTTCTTTACCTGGAGGAGGTTGCCAGTGCAATGAGCAGGGCTTGCAGGATTCCCCGTATGTAAACAATGGGACTCTTTTTGGTGATGAAGAAGTACATAGCAGGCAGGATAAACAAGCCGTGCAGCACCAAACCAAACACCACAGTGATGGCATAGAAACCGAGCTTCTTCCCCATGGCTGAGGGATCACTCATTTCCAGGATCTTTCCAGCCACCAGGAAAACAATACCAAATGGAAAATACCTGAGGAGATGAAGACAATCAAGTGTCAAAATGACAGTTATAAGTCTTAGATTTTATGAGATGGTGGGAGAAAAGAAGCCATACACAGAGTTTTACACTAAGAAACACCAATGTCCTTTTAAAAAAAATAATTAGATTAGGGGCATGTGAACATATGCGTGCAGTCTGTCCAACCATCAGTCAGCTGAATGACAACCAGACAAGAAATCTAGACAAGAAGGAGCTAGTTAGTTTTAGCAATTGAGCTTTAAAAGTAAGAGTGACAGGATTGTCTAAGACTAAATCCTTTATTTTTTCTTTCTCTGAAAAAACTATTAAATTACAATATACCTGCATACACATAACATAATATACTAGGATAAATGACCAGATTATAATGGTGGAATTAATCCTACTTAATGTGTAGATATTAGATTGACACATTTTTAATATTTATTAATGTGCATATACAGTCCCGATCAAAAGTATAAGACCACTTGAAAAATGGCAAAAAATTATATTTTGCATGGTTCGATCTTAACAAGGTTCCAAATATAGCATAGAGCTTTAACATGCAACAAGAAGGAATGGGAGTGAGACAAAACATTTTTTGAGTATTCAATTCATTGAAAAGAATGCTTAAACTGAAACAGTTTAACAGCTGTTTAACAGCTGATCAAAAGTTTAGTACCACATGCCTTTACAAGCCCAAATCTATGCAAAAATTTGGATTCATTGTCATTTTCTGTCAGGTAGTCACACTGTCATGACATTCTGATGTTGAACTAACAGAGTTGAGCATAAGCAGAGTTTCTCACACACAGACAGTCATTTCGAATTTTTTAAATGATTCTGGAAGACCCGCCAAAATTTATCCAGCACTGAGCCGGAGGATCCAATTGGCTGTCCATCAAGACACTGGACGATCCTTGACCCAAATTAAGGCCATTATTGGTTCTGACTGCAGCCCCATAGCCATCAGAGGGCATCTGAGACCGAAGGGCTTTAAAAACGGCTTTAAATGCTTCGTCTCCTTGAATGCCACAGAACTGACCGTTTGGATTTTGCAAGAGAGCTCCAATCATGGGACATTGAAAGGTGGAAGAAAGTTTTATTCTCTGATGAGAAAAAAATGTAACCTTAATGGTTCTGATGGTTTCCAACGTTACTTGCATGACAAGCAGATCCCACCTGAGATGTTTTCTACGTGCGAGTTTTTTCATTGAAATTATGTTATTTTCACTCTAGTTCTGTTGTTTTCATTCAAATTTGGTTGATTTCTTTCAACTTCTGGTGTTTTCATTCAAATTCCATTCTCTTCATTCTAATCCTGTTTTTTCATTCAAATGTTGTTGTTTCAATTCTAGTTCAGTTCTTTTCATTCTAATTCTGTTGTTTTCATTCAAATTTCTGTTTTCATTCAAATTCCGTTGTTATTCTAATTCTGTTAATTTAGTTCAAAACCCGTTGTTGTCATTCTAATTCTTTTCTTTTCATTCTAATTCCGTTGTTTTCATCCTAAAACTTTTCTTTTCATTCAAACTCAGTTCTTTTCATTCAAACTCAGTTCTTTTCATTCAAATTCTTCATTCTAATCCCCATGTTTTCATTCAAATTCTATCCTTGTCATTCTAATTCTGTTGTTTTTGTTCAAAATCAGTTCTTTTCATTCTAGTCCAGTTCTTTTCATTCAAATGTTGTTGTTTTCATTCAAATTTTGTTGTTTTCTTTCAAATTCCAGTGCTTTCATTCAACTTCCGTTCTTGTTATTCTAATCCTGCTGTTCTCATTGAAATTCTGTTCTCTTCATTCTAAACCAGTTTTTTCATTCAAATTTTGTTGTTTTCATTCTAATTCAGTTCTTTTCATTCAAATTCCATTGTTTTCATTCTAATTCTGTTGTTTTCATTCTAATTATGTTATTTTCACTCTAGTTTTGCTGTTTTCATTCAAATTTTGTTGATTTCTTTCAACTTTGGGTGTTTTCATTGAAATTCTGTTTTTGTCATTCTAATCCTGTTTTTTCATTCAAATTCCATTCTCTTCATTCTAATCCTGTTTTTTCATTCAAATTTTGTTGTTTCCATTCTAGTTCAGTTCTTTTTATTCAAATTCTGTTGTTTTCATTCTAATTCTGTTGTTTTCATTCAAATTCTGTTGTTCTCATTCAAATTCCGTTGTTCTCATTCTATTCCAGTTCTTTTCATTCAAATGTTGTTGTTTTCTTTCAAATTCCGGTGTTTTCATTCAAATTCCGTTCTTGTCATTCTAATTCTGTTGTTTTCGTTCAAAAGCCATTGTTTTCCTTCTAATCCAGTTCTTTTCATTCAAATTCCGTTCTTGTCATTCTAATTCTGTTTTTCTCATTCAAATTTTGTTAATTTCATTCTAATCCAGTTCTTTTCATTCAAATTCCATTCTTGTCATTCTAATTCTGTTAATTTAGTTCAAAATCCGTTGTTGTCATTCTAATTCTGTTGTTTGATCAACAATAACGGTGGAACTACTCGTTACGGAGTTCATGTTTGGAACTTTGATATCTTTTTTTTTTTTGGGTTTGTTTTGTTTGTTTTTTTTGTTTGTTTTTTTTGGGGGGGGGATCCTAAACTTTTGATCAGCTGTAAATCAGCCTGTTTCAACTTAAGTGTTGTTTTCAATAAATTGCATACTTAAAAAAAAGTCTTGTCACACTCCCATTTCTTCTACTTGCACGTTAAAGCTCTAACCATGCAAAATGTGATTTTTTGCCATTTTTTTCAAGTGGTCTTAAACTTTTGATTGGAACTGTATAAGATGCTGTGGCTCTATAAACACTTTCTAATCACAGAATAAGATCCTCCAAACAATAACATCCTGACTATAAGGCAGTTCAGGTTCGTCACGATTCTTTTTAATAGAACAGTTTCTCTGAAAATGATTTACTTGGATATTCCTTTGTAATTAGGTAATAATAATTTGCTATTTGCACTCAGACTCATTCTCACTTTGAATCATCCAATAAAGAAAGTGAAAGAAAGGTTAACCATGTCTCAACCTGATTCTGATGATAATATGTAGAGTTCTTGTCTAAACGGCTGATGCTGGTTATGTTTCTTAGAAAATTCTTTCATTCATAGCTTTTTCAAGTAGAAAAAATAATACTTTACAATTACCATATAACAATGGCGACAATCCTAAGGACAGCTTCATTCAGGCTCTGGCAGAAGTTTACCAAGGCACTGCCATTTGGCCCCATCCTTCCTAACATAATACCTGTGAAAACAAAGAAAAACCTCTGAAACAATGATGGATAAAATCATTTAAATTTCTTTATTTCAGGCAAGATGTATTCAAGAAATGTCAGATAAGAACAATGCATTTTTTTTACCCATGGTGGCTGAAAAAATAACAATTCCAAGGACGTTCATTCCATCACTTGTTCCTTCTCGTGTCTGTATGAGAACATCAGGGGGCGGAGTCAGGTCAAGAGCAAAGTTCTGGATGTCGGTTCCGTTGTCATCCTGAATACCGTAGACGAGTGCCCGCCGTGTGGTGGACTCTGACTGGGCCTGACGCACTGTCGGTCTGGGCTTCATTATGTAATTGCTGCTTGTTCGATACTGTTGCCAAGGAACAGAAAGAGTTGTTCTTATAAAAGAAGTCCTACAAAATGTAAACCTTTGTATCTGAAACTGCAGTTTGTGTCATCAGAGGTCATACCTGCTGAAATGTGGCCTGGACCAGATTTGCTGGAAACATGTTGCTGCAAGGCAAGCGCATACATTTAATGAATCGTTCTAAAAGGTTGAACACAATGCCAGCTAATAAAAAATTGAGCTGACCAATGCAGTGCATACATACAGACACCAAACTCAGTAGACCTCCTGTGACCTTATTTTGGAAATATCTGCATAAAGGAACTCTCTTCTATATTAATCCATTCCTCTTTTCTTATGGAGTCAGATACTGAGAAGATGTTTTAGGGTGATTTAGTCCTTGATTCCAAGGACAAAATTATCATCGTTTTGAAACTGTGCAATAATGAAGGCCAGATGCCTGTAATGGAGAAAATAAAACCATGAAATTTTTCCAAGATAGGGAGTCTCAGGAGACATAATTATTTCATCCGTCCATTTTCTGCTGATTATCCCTCTCACCAATGACCTCTTCCTTACAAGAAGGTGCAAAGGCTTTCCCAAACAAGTCAAGAGAACTGTTCTCTCCAACGTGTCCAGAGTTTGCCCCATGGATTTTTCCCAGGAGGACATATCCAAAACACTTCGCCTCCATCTCCAGGTCAACAAGCCATCGTCAAAAGCAGCTCAGTCAACTCTTTTTGATGTGGAGGACCTGTTGTTAAGGGAAACCCCAAACACCCTTTGGAAGAAACCCATTTCTGCTGATTGTATCTGTGATCTTATTTATTTGTGCTCTACCAGATTGAATGATAAATCATCAGCTTCACTTTCACACTCAGGGCTCTTTTCTTTTTGAAAAATCAGCTCAGCATCTTTGTCATTGCAGACTACCCTACCCACACTTGTGAACAAGATCCTGAGATGCTTGAGCTCCATCACTTGGGGCAGTATCTCATCCCCAGAGTTGGCACCCCAAACGAGAATCATAGCCTCAGACTTGATTAATTGGTTTATTGTCATTCCCGCTGCTTCACGTTCTGCTGCAAAGTGAATACTGGAGGTCACCACTAAAAAAAGCAAATAGAACCACATCATCTGTTAGAACCTGCGACAACCGAATTGACACCCTCTACCCCTTGGCTGAGCTTAGAGCCAAGGTCTCACTGTAGCTGTACAAGGACAGCACAGCCCACAATAATGTACCCCTGAAGCACCCTCTGAAGGACACCCTGAGGGAATCCCACACTTCATCAAATATAGAGCGGATATACAGGGTGGGCCATTTATATGGATACACCGTACTAACATGGGAATGGTTGGTGATATTAAAGTCCTGTTTGTGGCACATTAGTATATGTGAGGGGGCAAACTCCTCAAGATGGGTGGTGACCATGTTGGCCATTTAGAAGTCGGCCATCTTGGATACAACTTTTGTTTTTTCAATAGGAAGAGGGCCATGTGACACATCAAACTTATTGGTAATGTCACAAGAAAAACAATTGTGGGCTTGGTTTCAATGTAACTTTATTCTTTCATGAGTTATTTACAAGTTTCTCTTTGTTCACAGCCATTGACATGTCGAAGAGGTTAACACGTTAGGAGCAGGTCGAAATTGTGTTGATATCTGTGAACGCAGTAACCGGATCATTGCAGCAGATTTCAATGCAAGACACCCTACAAGACCACCCATCTCCCATGCTACAGTTAGCAAACTGCTTGCTAAGTTTCGTGAAACTGGTTCAGTGTTGGATTTGCCAAAATGTGGACGCAAGAAAACTGTCACTAATGAAGAAACATCAGTGGCTGTCCTAGCTTCATTCAGCAAGAGCCCACAGCGTAGCGCTCGCCACATGTCACTGGAGAGCGGCATTAGTCGAACATCCCTTCGGCGGATATTAGCTACTCACAAATGGCACCCTTACAAACTCCAGCTACTGCAGCATCTCATCGAGGATGACCCAGATCGGCACACAGAATTTGCAGAATGGGCAAAACAAAAATTGGAACAGGACCCTCAGTTCACGCAGAAGATTTTGTTCAGTGATGAGGCAAACCTTTATGTGAATGGTGAAGTTAACAAACAAAACCACCGCTATTGGTCTGACACTAACCCACATTGGATGGATCCCTCCAAGACTGTTGGAACAACAAAAGTGATGGTTTGGTGTGGTATATGGGGTACAACGATAGTGGGTCCATTCTTCATCAATGGAAACATCAAGGCCACTGGATATTTGAAATTGATGTGTTTCCCTCTTTATGCACTGAAGCTGGCACGTTCCCTGAGTTCTTCCAGCAAGATGGTGCACCACCACATTATGGGTGCCAGGTCCGAGCATTCCTAGATGAACAGTTTTCTGGAAAGTGGATTGGTCGCCGTGGGCCAGTTGAATGGCCCCCAAGGTCTCCCGATCTGACCCCCTTAGACTTTTATCTTTGGGGTCATCTGAAGGCAATTGTCTATGGTGTGAAGATACGAGATGTGCAGCACCTGAAACTACGGATACTGGATGCCTGTGCTGGCATTTCTCCTGCGGTGTTGCTATCAGTGTGTGAAGAGTGGGAGAAGAGGGTTGCATTGACAATCTAACACAATGGGCAGCACATGGAACACATTTTATAAGTGGTCAGAAACTTGTAAATAACTCATGAAAGACTAAAGTTACGTTGAAACCAAGCACACCATTGTTTTTCTTGTGACATTACCAATAAGTTTGATGTGTCACATGGCCCTCTTCCTATTGAAAAAACAAAAGTTGTATCCAAGATGGCCGACTTCTAAATGGCCACCATGGTCACCACCCATCTTGAAGATTTTGCCCCCTCACATATACTAATGTGCCACAAACAGGACTTTAATATCACCAACCATTCCCATTTTATTACGGTGTATCCATATAAATGGCCCACCCTGTAGAGACGATCCAGTGTTCTGTGACCAAAACAAAAAAACACATCGTGCATGTGTTATTCACAAACATAACTATTCACAAACTAAAAAGAAAACTTACAAAATCGGCTTCAAAACTCTTTAAAAAGAAAATTAAGAAATCGCATGTTCTCTTGTTAAAAGGTTCACACAAAGTGATACTGCAGTATATTATTGTAGTTTTTCAACCTACACGTATGCTTAATATAGAGAAATTCATACTCATACTCTGTTTAGTCAAACCCGGCAGTGTTTCATGTTCAGACAAAATGTTTCCATTTGAAGCTTTGGCAATAGTGAGATCTTTTCGTCACTCCCCACTTGTTTTCAAAACATGAATAATTTTGAATGAACTGCAAGGTTGTTTTTAGGCCAACAGATGAGTAAAAAAAAAAAACATCATACAAAACAAAAACAAAAATAAAACAAAGAAGAGCAAAACAGGAAAGGCAAATCTGCAACTTTCATTATTATTACTGAGCCACTCCTCTGTCTCCTTTCTACACATGCAGTGGGCTCGGTTTCCTTGGCAAGTGAAAAACCCAAGTTCTCTCAACTAAAGATTATCACTTTATTAAACTATGTACTAACAAGCATTTTTTCTAAAACATTTACATTCCTATTTTTGAAATCAATATTAGATTAACAAATTGAACTTGGGTTTTTACGCTGGAACACAGTGTGCGTAATAAAAACAAGAATATCATATTATGACTTCAGGGTAAAAAAAACCCTTGGCTGTTGTCTGATACAAAGCAGTGATATTTATGCTCTCATCTAAACAAACTAAATTGAATTGTTTGCCTGCGGTTGGTGAAGTTGTGCAATTCAGAAGTTGGAAGCACCGACTTGGGAAGCTTGAACTCACATCATTTTCAAGTTGTTTAGAGTAATAATCCTGTTTCATTTTCATCAGTTTTTTTTAAACCTTGACCAAAACCTCACCTTAACCCTTTCCAATTGCCTTTGGTTGCTCAAGCTAAACTTTCTTCTCATGCAAGCATGGGGTTGGCTTTCCAAAAAGTAACTTGAAAAACAATGCTTTTGCCAGACAGACACCACGCTTAATGTTCAGGTCTGATCAGGTCTGATAATAATAATAATAATCCCAAAAAACATCACTTTACCTCAGCCCTTACTTAGAATTTTAATTACTTGCACATTTGACAAAATGAAATTGCATTTGAATTACTGATACACTATGAATAGCGCAGGCTTCACTTTAAAATCAAGGGGAGAGTTTAAATTTCAAAAGAAGGCTGCTAATGTTAGAAACCTCAAACGAGATGCACTCCAATGGTCTGCCATGTATTTTCTAGAAATTCAGAATAGGACATAATGATACACTCAAAAAAAAATGAAATTGAGTAGTTGTTACATCTACAGGAGTCTAACTTTAATTTGAACAAAATAATTTCATGTTTCTATGGTAAATGTAATTAATTCATGCAGGATCTGCATAAAATTCAGTGACTTTATTTATTCTTGTTGAGATGACATGACAATCTAGGAAGAGTAGGTATTTGCCTTGACTCGTGAAAATTCACAAGGTCATATGAGATTTCAAACCACTGGGGTTATAAGAGGCTGAAAAGCATACACACATCTGTCAAGGACAAAAGAATAAAGAAAATTCTGTATCAAGCCTTGTAATCATAGCTTTCCTACTTTTCTTTTAGTGCTGATTGACAGCTTGGTGGGGTGATGGTTACACTGAAAAAAAGGGATTGGCCAGCTCTTAGATTTACGTAAGCATCTTGCGTGTATTTAACACAAATGCCTCATGCTTTAAAGTATAGTGTAGAAACTACATGATATGCATTAAATTCTTCATATCATGTTCAAGTGAAGTAAGTCAATAATATAGCAATGTTAAATCCCGCGACACTGCACGGGTTTCAGTCTCACGCTCTTTGGATCGTGGTTTCAGGAAGGCATCCATCTCAGTCAAGTCGAGCAGCCACCTCTACTTTTTTTGGTATACCGAAAAAAGTAAATTGGGTGGTTGTTACATTAAAAAGTCCAACTTGTAATTTGAACACAATAATTTCATGTTTCTATGAATGTAATTAAATCATGAAGGATCTGTATGAAATTCAACAACTTAATTTGTTCTTGTTGAGATGACATGATACAATCTAGTGAGAGTGGTTAGCTGCTGAACTCATGAAATTCACAAGATCGCACAAGATTTCA